TTTCTCCTACGCGATCCGTGAGAAACGACGGGGATTTAATGCTTCTTGCCGTGCCTTAATCGACAAGGGCATCCGCTTTAGGATGCGCTATCCGGCGACGCTTGTGCTGACTCACAACGGCAATGAGCACAAGTTTGAATCGCCTAAAGATGCACAAAGCTTCATCAATGCGCTGGATTAATAGATGCTTGCTCCGTACGAACTGTGGCACTGCCGGACTTAACTTGGACCGTGTCATTGAACGCCTGAGTCCGCAGCGTTTAACGCAGCTTGAGGAGGAAGTGATGGTTTGACGGGGAAAATGGCCTAATTGTTTGCTCAGTCTCTAATTTTGACTCACAACTGACAGTAACCCGATTCCATTCAGGTTTGGGGAGCGGGGGCGGGGTTTTGCTTTGTTTTTATTTCTTTCTTTTTCTTGTCTTCTCTCTCCTTTTCTCCCGTGGAGTGAAACTTCTTTTGGCTGCACTGGGCTTGTAACACCACCCGGTGGGTGGCATTCTCATTTTTGTTTGTTTCTTGTTTGTCTGCTTTTAGTTCGTGATACCTTGACGTTTATCTTAATTCTTTTATTGTATGCAATTTGTTGTGTGGGTGAAGGTTCCTTTGCCATCTTTTTGTGATGGTTTTGTTCATGTCAGCGCGGCGGGCTCAGACCATGGGTTAAGTTTTTCACATGTCTTTTATTATGATGGCTCTTTCTGTTTGCCTTGGGTTGACGATTCTAGTCCAATGACAGATTACTTTTGCAATGAGTAACACTAAAATTATTACTCTTAATGTCAAGGGAATTAACCACGTCATTAAGAGGCGCAAGATAATCTCCTTACTCAAAAAAGATAGAGTGCAGATTGCATTACTGCAAGAGACTCACCTCACAGATTCCGAACACCTAAAACTTAAACGTGATTGGGTGGGACAAATTTACTATTCCTCCTTTAACTCTAAAAGTAGAGGCGTCGCAATATTGGTCCATAAAAATCTACCATTCACTCTACATACTATTGTAAGGGATACGGACGGACGATTTATTTTGATCACTGGGCTTCTATATGGGGAATTAATTCTATTGGGAAGTGTTTATGCACCAAATACTTTCGATAGATCGTTCTATTCAAATTTTCTGGCAAAAACCTCCCCTGTGTGCCCGAACCATGTAATAATTGGTGGGGATTTTAACTGTGGCTTGAATCCTGAAACTGATTATAATCCACCAAAATCTCAACCATCTTCAAAAATGGCAAAGGCTACAACGGACCTCTGTTCAGATCTTGGTCTCTTTGATGCTTGGAGAGTTTGTAATCCACATGTGAAGGACTTCACATTCTTCTCACGCCCCCATTTTTCCTTTTCCAGAATTGACTACATGTTTGTTTCTGGATCTGTCCTTGACAGAACTCGGGGCTGTTTGATCCACACATGTGCGCTTTCAGACCACTCATCAGTTTCACTGGAGCTATCACCTCCTTATTATGACCCTTCGTCTAGACATTGGCGGCTAAACCCAGCTCTCCTTAGTGACCCTGCATTTGTAAGGTATTTGGAAGATCAGTGGGAACTCTATCTTTCTACAAATGACTTACCGGGGGTTAGTGCCTCTACTCTCTGGGAGGCGGGTAAGGCGTTTCTCAGGGGCTCTATTATCTCTTTTACCTCGGCAAAAAAGAAGAGCAATTTGGCTAAACAATTAGTGCTTGAACGCGATATCACTGACTTGGAGAGGGAGTTTAAGAAATCCTCGTCTGTTTCTGTGCTTCGGAAGTTGGATGCAGCTAGATCGGCCCTGGACCAACTGTTGACTCAGAAAGCGGAAACTGCAATATTCTATGCAAAGCATAGATTATTTGAATCGGGTAACAAACCTGGACGCTTGCTCGCCCGACTTGCCCAAGGGAGACGGGGCTCTTACGCAATACCCTCTCTAAAAGATAAGGCAGGTGTCTTACAGTTTGAGGCTAAACTTATCAGCAAAATAATGGAAGAGTTCTATCAAGATTTATATTCCCCTGAGTGTCAAAATACTGTAGGCGCCAGGAAACTGTTTCTTGACACTGTTAACCTCCCTGTACTGTCGGAGGGAAGTCGATTGGATCTTTGCAGCCCTATCAGGGTGCAGGAGGTCTTGGATGCGATTAAATCTTTACAGGGTGGAAAGGCCCCGGGCCCTGATGGGTTTGGGCCAGAGTTTTATAAAAAAATGGCCAGACATGTGGCGGGTCCTTTGTTGGGAATGTATACAGAATCTCTTGAGAGGGGCGTGCTTCCACCCACCCTGAACCTTGCCCATATATCCCTGATTTTGAAGAAGGATAAGCCCGCGGATCTGTGTACATCCTACAGACCTATAAGTCTACTTAGTGTGGATTGTAAGATTCTGTCCAAAGTTTTATCCAGACGATTGGAGGAGGTTCTGCCGGTTCTGATAAAGCCTGACCAGACGGGGTTCGTCAAGAATAGATACTCCCGCTCCAATGTCCGCCGACTCATAAATATTGCGCAGTTTTCCCAGAACACCGATTGTAGGGCTCTTGCGATCTCCTTGGATGCTGAGAAAGCATTTGATCGGGTGGAGTGGGAGTATCTATTTGATGTTTTGGACAGGTTTGGTTTGGGATCTGAATTCGTCAAGTGGGTCAGACTGCTGTATGGGGCCCCAGCTGCAAGGGTCTTGGTTAATGGCTCGGTCTCGGATGTCTTCCCACTGGGTAGGGGAACGCGGCAAGGATGCCCCCTCTCTCCCCTGTTGTTTGCACTTGCTTTGGAGCCACTGGCAGAGGCTATAAGAACTGATCCTGGGATCTGTGGGGTGACCTTGTCGAATACTGAATACAGGATTTCCCTTTATGCAGATGATGTGTTGCTCTTTCTCACTAAACCAGAATCTTCTATTCCTGCACTGACACATATCATCAACCAATTTGGCCTCTTCTCGGGGTATAAAATAAATTATGATAAATCTGAAGCCTTGCCACTGGGTGCCGGGGGGAGGTGGGACGCTCCTCCTAATTTTCCTTTCAGGTGGTCGACCACGGGTTTCACATATTTAGGTATCAGGGTGTCCGCAGACACAGCGGAGTTGTACAAGCTGAACTTTAAGCCGATTGTGGCCTCAATCAAGAATGACCTCAATAGGTGGTTTGACCTCCCCCTGTCTTGGACGGGTAGAATAAGTCTGATCAAGATGAATGTGCTACCCAGAATATTATACCCCATTCAAATGTTGCCTCTCAGGATCAACAGAAAAACATTTGTAGAAATTGAGTGTTGTCTTTCTAAATTCATATGGCGTGGGAAGAAATCTAGACTAAAGATACGGATTTTACAACTGCCCACGGATGAGGGGGGTCAGGCTCTGCCTAACTTTTTATATTACTACTGGGCTTGCCACGCACAAATAATTTCAGGGTGGTTACATTCCTTCCTTCACCGGGGCGAACCATCGGTGGATGCCTGGTGCTGTGACCCTCTCTCACCTCTTAGTCTCTTATCCACTGACCTGGCGGACCTCCCTCCTGGTGTCAGAACTAATTCCGTCTTGATGCCCACTTTAAAGGTTTGGCATAGTATTACTGCCCACGTCGGAAGGAGAGGTTTCTCCAGTGCACTGCAGCCCCTAACTAGGAATAAAGCTTTCCCCCCGGGTATTGGCATTAATATATTTGATGATTGGTATTCTAAAAATATAAGGTTTATTTGTGATCTGTTCGAAAGGGGTAGCTTTATGGCTTTCAATCAGGTTCAAGTTAAGTATAATTTACCACAGAAACATTTCTTTGGATTCCTGCAAGTAAGGCATTATGTGAACTCCCTTAAATTTCCAGCCAATCAACCAGTTTTGAACCCTGTTGAAAGCCTTCTTCTCAAAGTTAACGAGGAAATGACTACGAGAAAGAAATTTATTTCTCTTTGTTATGGGAAATTGTTGTCTTTGAACTTTGTAAGCACTGATACGGCCAGGGTTCGGTGGGAAACCGACCTCGAAGCTCAAATTGGTGCGGAAGCATGGTCCAAAACTTTCAGATCTGCCATGAAATTGTTTCCCTGTAACAGACTAAAGGAAAGCCAGTACAGAATCTTACACAGGCTGCAGCGCACGCCGGAGTTCCTAAATAAAATTCACCCTCAGATTTCTGCTCTTTGTGTGAAGTGCAATACGGCTGTAGGGACCTATTACCACTGCATATGGCAATGTCCTTTAATTACTAGATTTTGGAAGAATATTGCTATAGAGCTTTGCTCTATTTTCCACCGTACGATCCCACTGAACCCTATGCTGTTCGTTCTGGGTCTATCTATAGAAGGGCTCTCTCTGTCTTCTGCACAGATGCTTTTGTTAAGTAAACTTTTACATTTGGCGAGGCGATGTGTACTGTTTCAATGGGTTCAGAGTCGGCCTCCTACTGTTACACAGTGGTACAGGGAACTGCTCGGGGTGCTGCCGATGGAGCGCCTCAGTGCCATCATGAAGGGCAATTGTAATGCATTCTGTAGCATATGGCAGCCTCTGCTTGATCACCTACCTCATGACCTTACTGTGCTATTACATAAAGGGGACTCACAGTTTGTTTTTAAACACAATGCTTAATGTCTGTGTTTTCCCCCCGCCAACCACCTTTTATTTTTTATTTATTTTTTATTTTATTTTATTCATTGTTTCCCTTGACTTCAAATGTGGAACGCTTTACATTTTTTGTCCCAGGCGTGTGTACTGGTAACTCATGTACCTGCATTTGCTGTGCTTTTTCTTTTGTGTGCTTGGCTGTGCTGACTTGTTGCTGTTCGTGTTGTTCTGACAAAATCAATAAATCATCGTTTCAAAAAAAAAAAAAAAAAACAGTGCAGAAACAGAATCACCATTCCTGTGAAGCATGATTCTTTCTTAATTTGTGTGTGTGCGTGTGTGTTGTTCTTGTTCCACACCTTCTGTGTTTGTGAGTTTGGAATACC